GATTTATGTTCGTTTCAGAATATACGGTATATTAATGTAAAATTAACACATGTTTTGAGCAATCACACCCGACTAGGTGCTGATCAAGAAAACAAACTTGGGTGGTTCCACCTTCATGGACTGATCAGTATTCTCGATAATTAATGCCAATACTATAGCACAGATTGCAATCGCCTAACCATTTTTATCGCTTTCATCGAAGAAGTATACGTATTCAATCATGCACTTCGCGAGTACCTGCACTTAAACAGCTGCCCCGCCGCGGTGGTCTAGTGGCTAAGGTACTCGGCTGCTGACCCGCAGGTCGCGGGTTCAAATCCCGGCTGCGGCAGCTGTACTTCCGATGGAGGCGGAAACGTTGTAGGCCCGTGTGCTCAGATTCGGGTGGACGTTAAAGAACCCCAGGTGGTCGAAATTTCCGTAGCCCTCCACTACGGCGTCTCTCATAATCACATGGTGGTTTTGGGACGTTAAACCCCCACATATCAATCAATCATCGTCAAATCATCGCACTTAAACAGCTGGTTTATGTTGTGCGTTGCTCTTTACTTCTATATATCTGTTGCCGTGCGCTCCTTTCTGCAACGCCTGAACGGCCAAAAGTAATGGAATGAAACGACCCTCGGCGTCATCAGCCACAGATGTCGCGAATACCAACGCAACGCTATAGCAGATATTCCCGTTCGTTGGCCATGAATTCGGTGATTACATGTCGCTCGATCGCACATACATCGGACGTAGACATATGAAGCTATATTGCGTTCGGAAGCTGTTATACCGAGCGGAATACGTCCCCGGCTTCTACACATGAATCTCAATTGGGCTTCCACTACAAATTGTCCGCCTATCCACGTCTGTTGTAGCGCGAAAGCTTTCTGCCAGGCATATCCGATTTTAACAGTGCTTTGCGCATGCTTCTACCTTACGGTCATATGCTACGATCTCATCAAGCCTTAATTTTTTTTTTTTTTGCGGTCACTGACTTGTGCTTCTCTGCCCCTGACAACCACTCCGTCACGATCAGAAGACCGGCTACCCCAGTTAGTTATCTAATCTACCCAGCCGTATTCACTATCTTGTACGATTAAAACTGTTCGTCTCATCACTGGCCGCGTGGTTGAACCTATTGAAAGTTTCCCAACCCACATGTTAGCACCGTAGAACGAAACGACTGCTTTGAACGCAAATAAAACCATTTACACGGGGTCTTTTTTTTTTTTTTTGCATTCGGTCGTTTTGAAATGCGACATAAATCAAATACGAGGCCTTTCTGCACAACTGTAGAATACCCCTGATGTTAAAAACGCGATTACCGACCACCACATACTTAAAAAAAACAAAGCGGTGACAAGCCCGACGAGAGTCCTTTTTCGAACTCTCGAGCAACGGGAAGTGTGGTGTTATCACAAGCAAGCTTCCGATAACACCGCAGGCAGGGCAGGAAAAAAAATAGATAACCTTTTGAGTCGCTTATCGTAGGAAGTCGATCTTCTCGCGGGTTCAAATCCCGGCTGTGGCGGCTGCATTTCCGATGGAGGCGGAAATGTTGTAGGCCCGTGTACTCAGATTTGGGTGCACGTTAAAGAACCCCAGGTGGTCAAAATTTCCGGAGCCCTCCACTACGGCGTCTCTCATAATCAAATAGTGGTTTTGGGACGTTAAACCCCACAAATCAATCAGGAAGTCGATCTTCCGGTACGGGGAACACATCCACAGCTAAGCGACTTCACTTTCAAAAGCCGACCCTGAAAACGAAAAGGGCCGATTCGAAACGATTCTTTCAGCGACGCTACGGCGACGGACTTCAACGCCACAGTCACGACATCTTCTTCAAGAGCCGATCGACGCATGCGCGGAAGGCGTGTTGCGCCGCGTGGGCGAACGCTAAATCTCGCACACTCTCGCCAGCCCGTAACGCTAAATCTACCACGCGCTATAAGCACACAAACATAGGCAATAAACGAGGCTCCCCAAACGAGGCTCAGGCGGTGGAACCAGGCGTGCTCGTGCGGCGAACAAGGTTAGCTGCGGATGCAAAGCCGCCGCAGAAGAAGGTTCATACGAAACCAAACGAATCACGATCTGCACATCCTCTGCGCGTAAGATACGACCCGCAACAAAACAACACCGAAGGTTACGCAGGGTGGCAAGCGTGCTGCGGCAGCAGACAAATACGAACCCCGGGGTGACCAACAGATGGAGCCACATTGAAGTAACCATAATTGAACAGTGAACTTTATTGACATCATGTACATAGTACACAATGCCGGAGGCCGGCAGAACAAGCCATCGCAAGGATAGCTTGACGAAGCTGCGGGCCCCCGTTTTGGCACCAGCGTACAACGGTGTTCTCAGTACATAAACAGACAACAACAATAATAACAACAAGAGAAGGAAAAAAAATTGATCGACGTAGCGCGTTTAGAAACATAGGACATAGAAACATAGGACCAACATGCTCAACTTTATACTCTAGTGAAGTAACCAGTTTGGAAACCAGGACACAGAACGATTGATGATTAATACGTGGGGTTTAACGACCAAAACCCACCATACGATTATGAGAGACGCCGTAGTGGAGGGCTCCGGAAATTTCGACCACCTGGGGTTCTTCAACCCAAATCTGAGCACATGGGCCTACAGCATTTTCGGGACACAGAACAGACTGCGGACTGGTACAACAGTTTGTGTGCGCGCGTACGTGGATGATTATCGTTCTTCGGTATTTTAGCTAGGACATATTGGGCAGGCCTATCCATAGCCTACCCAGAATGCAAAGGGTCAAGCAACGTTTCATTTCCATCGAACCAATGCATGTGACTCTTCTGAGCCCCATACAACCTTTGCGCTACGTTCATTCACTGCATGTGGCCCCTGCAGGGGGCACTACCATACATATTTAGTAGAGTTACTGTAGATACGCAGTAAATAAGCTATATAACGTATAATATACAGTAAATTACTGTACATATGCCGTAATAATGACCTACAACAGAATATGATGCCAAGGAAAGCACAGGGGTTGTACGGTCCTACATAGGTTCTTGGCATCCCTCTATTAGTTCTCCATAATATTGTGTCTATCAAACAAAAACAAGCCCTTATATTTTCACTCTTTTTGCATGTATACAGTAAAAGTACAGCAAAGTAAGCAAGTGCAGCTGAGCGACATGCAATAACTTAAGGGGCACCATGTATATCAATTGTACATCGCTTATTTGCTGTATAAAGCTCCTTTAAGTGCCATATACAGCGACTATCGGCATCGTATATAGAGAGAAGCCACATACTGAAACTATACAGTAAAGTGCTGCACGTAAACAGTAGACCAACGGTAGTCCCTGTATGCGGCTCCCAAAAAAACCAATCTGCTGTAACCTGCCAGTACAGCAGCGCCATCGTTAAAGAACCTGCGCGTGGAATACATAACTGTACGCAAATGAAAGAATCGTCCGCTACTTGTGAACTGCCGAGTAAATAACGACAGCCACCGCGGGTCGAAATAAATCAATGCGCCATTAGGTAAAGGCCATTGACATCGAGCAGGTCAGCGGCCGAACTGCGCTTGTTGGTTTTAAAAAATTGGATTAAAAAAAAAAGAGGAAGTCATAACGAAGGAAGAGATTAGCGGTGCCACCTACTAAACGCCAAAAAACAAACGTAGCAAGTTTTCTACAGTCCCAGTATACTGTGCATGAGGAGCATTTTTTTATTTCCCCTATATGAGCCAAATCCAAAAACCGAAACTAGCTCAAATAAGTCTGTATTGGCACATACATACTCTCAACTTTCATCTGAAACAGAATTATCAAATTACTTTTATTCTTGATTTAGAGGAAAGCTGAGAGTATGTAAGTGCCAACAGAGCTTTATTTCAGCTGAAAGAGAACTAATAAATTATTATTTACTTTTACTCCCGATTTCGAGGAAAGTTGAGAGTATGTAAGTGCCAACAGAGCTTTATTTGAGCTAGTTTCGGTTCCGGATTTCATCCATTTTGAAGAAGAAAAAAAGATATGTAGTGCACAAGTTCACTCACTCACTGCTTAAAGATGCAGCTCTCTGTTCAGAGTGCTACAAAGAGGCGTCGCCAGTTCCTTTTAACTCGAACTGACCGTGCAGGAAGCGATAAGGCTAACTGAGTTTACAGCAAATAACGAAAAAACAACCGGCACACACACCTGCGAACACGCCTTCGAAGCAAAGTGACTTTTCGAAAACGGTGCACACAGAAGACGCGACCAGTGCGAAAAAAAAAAAAAAAACGCGACTGACTCGACGCATTACGAGTTTAGAACAAGAAAAAAATAATTGTAAAGGGACGAGAGAAGCGGCGCGGGAAGGTTGAAAACTGGAAAGCGAAACTTGAAGTTCAGCTATTTAAAATAAGACGAAAAAAAAAGGTGCACGGTATATACGCAGGTGTGGCAAGAAACTTCCTCGACGGAGCATTTCACTGGGCGTACAGTACGCAAACGACTCTTTTTCTGCAGTTTTGAGCGCTTCCTCCCATACAGCGCTCCGTAGTTGCCGTTTTTTTTTTTTTTTTCAGAATTTTTCTCTTTTTCTTTTCCCCTCACTGTCAGGCGAGGGTCTCGCATCACCGGGCGAAATGCGTTTCCGAAGGAGCGACGAAGGTTTGGAACCTTGAACTCGACTTGACAGGAACTTGTCAACGCTTAGTAGCTCGTCAAAGCATTCGGTTTCAGAAAGTTACCCAACGCTTTGTTTTGTTTTGTTTTTTTTGCATTTGCACAAAGCATTGACGCACTTTCAGCGCTACAATATGACGCATGTTCTTCGTCTAGAACGCGCAGACACGTTTTTCAGGAAGCGAGCAGGCTGGCGAGACGTGCAACGCAGGTCAGCCGGCTGATACCACGGTTCCTCTGCGAGCGAGTCTAACCCTAACCACCTACCCGCACATTTGGATGCCGTACGGCAACTTAATGGCGGATTAGCCCCAAAAATACCAAGCTGGGAGGCTTGCTCAGACTCACCGTCATTCTCTTCGTCGTACTTGAGCGCCTTGGAGATGAAGTCGAAGGCCCGCTTGTGGTGCTGTTTCTGTCGTATGAGCTGATTCGCGTCAGGCTCCCCACTGGACGCCGCCATCGCGTCGGAGCTGCCACTGGTCGCCGAGAGGTGGCCGTAGTGGCGCTCTTCGTGGCGAGCGCTGCGGCCACCGCGGAAAACGAACACCACCACGGCGAACACACTCGTGCAGATCCATCGCAGTAGCCAGAACACGACGAACACCGGGTAGATCGCGTATCCGCCGAAGGTCCTCAGCGTGCGTAGTCGAGCAGCGTGGTCGTCGGCGCCGGAGCAGTCGTGCGGCGCGGTCTCCAGCGGGGCGACGCTAGCAGCCATCTGCACGTAGCCATAACAATCGACTAGTCTGCCGAGCTCGTGCGTACGTTTTGTGCGCTTGACCGAAAAAAGCAGACGCTCTTGCGCCCTCACCCACTTTCTCTCTTCTCCTTCCGTCGTTGCTGCGAGACACGTGACTTAGTCCGTACAAAAGTTTAGCTGCGCAACCTCAAATCCCACACTTCAAAACACAACCACCGTTCGCAAACACATAGTAAATTTTACCGATTGTTGCGTCATCTGCTGAGATAAATAATAACTATTTTTTGCAAATGTTAACGTCACATTGTTGAATAATAAGTACTTTGTTTTAAATAGATGACAGTGCTGTAGTTTATTTTTTAATTAATAGTCCTTGTTTGGTGAGTTGGTATAAAAGCTTTGGTGACCAAAACTTTCAACCAGAACACTTGACGTCACAGTTGTAGGCCAATCGCGGGCTCGCATGCAGTTTGGCGCCAGCGCGGGAGATTTGCCAAGTTTTCCCACGCGCTCGAGCCCGTACACGACGCGCACGTACGCACTTGCTACTTATTTCTGTGTTTCTGACGGCGCGACAAACAATCGATTGATGCAGACGCGCGACTACCACGTCTTAATATGAGAGCCCATCGCTGCCTTCCCGATGTGGAAATACCACTTTGTTATTATGCAACTTTCACATCTTGCAATGCGCGTACGGCACTTTTGCGAGAAATATAAGCAGTACATAAATAGTAAAATAAATCGTAGGGCAATAAAAAAAATCATGCAACATAGTTTATAAGCGCACCTTTAAACAAAACAATATCAAACAGCGCCGAAGGAATTGAACACAGTACAAACTTTATCACTAATTTCAGATCTTGAATTGCAATAAGGCTTGACATGTCTCCACCCGTTAAAATAACATGTGCAATGAACCATGACAATACAAAAAAAAGGCGAATGCGTTCTGCTTTTATAAAATTCATTTAGGTGTTCAGGAGATTTTATATTTTGTATTGATGACAGCGCAAAGCTCCTAGTTTGTTGCACAGCAAAAATTCAGACAAGCGATTTTCATCCCATGTGCTTGGATTGGCAGTTGTGGTCGTTGATATAATGAGAGTATTTGAGGTAATCTTTTGTCATTACAATACGATTAGTTTTTTTTTTACTTAATACACTTTAGGTGCCTCTCTTAAGCGATTGTCTTTAAGGCAGAGAAACAGCAATTTACTATTGGATCAAAATTTGAAAATGTAACCTGATTCATGTCTTCGCCATGTCTATTTGAAGCCATCACTCTTGGATCCAGATAAAAATTATGTAACCTGATTCATGTTTCTGCTTTGCCTATTCGCAAATGTGATTTTACATTTTTCTGTTATATCTAATTATAACTCCGGCATGGCCTTTTGTTTCTTTTTCTTTCTTTTTGTTTGTGTAGCGTTTTCCATACGCCACCAACAATTTGCACTCGTGTTAGCACATATTTTAACTTTTATGCGGATTTCTAATGCCTAGCTGCTCCCTTTCCTAACATGCTATACAAATAAATACTTTGCGTTATTTCAAAAATGTGAAACAAGTTTCACGGTGTGCATTACCTCTTTACCTTATCGTGTTTATAAGCATAACGCATTTGTTTTTGTGCGTAACGTTCCTAGGGAAGAATAGGTATCATTCAAACATGGTACGGTAAAGTTTTTTTTTTTTATATATTTATTAGAGATTCCCCACGAACGCACAAAATATTTCAAAGCTCACACAGAACCCACTAACCCGTTTATGAGTGGCTTTGTCCAGCGACGCTTTCCAAATGAAGACCATATCCCTCTTTTTTATTCTTTGCTTGCTTTCTTTATGTTATGCCACACTGACATTTCTTTAAGCAGGAAAATGGCACACACCAAGAGAATAGTTTTGTTCTATCTTATTTTAGTTGGCTTCTATGCTTCGAGGTTACCTTTATGCTCTTGCCTCCACAAACAAGCTGCCATGTTGCAATACCTAAGCGGTAACCATTTCAATCACGCTGCGTACAAATGTACACTGCGCCAACTTCAATGGCACGTCATGTAGCGCGTGCTTCATCAAATGGCTTGAGACTGAGTGTGAGCACTCGTGCAGGCCTGGACAACTGGTGACCATTCAACTTCATTATGCTGCGTACCAATGCAGAGGATCACTTTGCTGGATACACGACCATGTTCGACTGATTGTTCGACGTGACGCGTTCTAGGAACAACGTGATTTTTCTTCTTCGCTCGAAACAAATACAACAAAAAAACCAAATCGTGCGAGCATTTCGGGCCTAACAGTGGATTCTTTTTAAGCAAGTAATGAAGCTGACTGGTGGCGCAATAATTAGATAATTACTTACACTCATAACTTTAATTACTAATATTCCCTTGCTACGACGTTTTCCTTCTGTTTATCCCTTGGAGTGCCTCGGAATCAAGCCACGCTAATTTGACGCATTTCAGGCAGAACATCACGATTTGCGACTGGAGTGGCTAAGCACCTGAATGTGTGTACGTCTCTTGCAAACTATCTGTGCAGTTCAATCAAGCAATCAATCAACATTACTGGCATCAAAAGTGTAGTCAATTGCAGGTAAGTAGGTAGGAAGTGGTCTCGCGGCTACAAACTGCAGGACCTGCGAGGATCAGTTCCAATTCTGCAAACCACAGGAATTCGAACATATCCTCGTAATGATTAGCCACCCGGATTGCTGAATTTTGTGTAATTAATCCGAGGCCTTCGCGAATACATGCTATTGGATGCCGGGTATATATTTGTTATTTTTTCATGTGTTGCCCGGCAAAAGGACCTGAAATTGCCGAATAGCCCCGCCGCGGTGGTCTGCATATAAATAAAGGCTAAGGCACTCGGTTGCTGACTCACAGGTCGCGGGATCGAATCCCGGCTACGGCGGCTGCATTTTTCGATAGAGGCGAAAATGATGTAGGCCCGTGTGCTCAGATTTGGGTGCATGTTAAAAAATTCCCAGGTGGTCGAAATTTCTGGAGTCTTCCTTAACGGCGTCTCTCGTAAAATCACTAGGTGGGTTTGGGACGTTAAACCACACAAATTAATCAAACGATCAATGAAATTGCCGCAAGTTGGTGCTGATTCTGTTTCTTACGAAGCCGCAAGAACTTCGTGACGCAAGTCGAAAGGAACACTTTCACGATGAGCGCGTCACGTTTCACAATCTACATTTAGTATCTTTTCATATTTTTTCTTCGATTTCCAAGAAGCGAGATTGGGAGAAAAAAAAAACAGAAAAAATATGGGTGCTTGTACAGTCTCATTTTGTAATCGTGCTGCTTTCTTTCCCTTTGCTCGGTTGTCGCAAAGTTCAAGAGGACAAAGGCGGACGAATAAAAAAAAGCTAAGAAATGGCCACAAAGTGTGTTTCGAGCGTTGAAATACCACAGAATAGAGCTCACAATGAATACATATACATTACGCGCTGCCAAATTCTACTTTTATTCACGGAGCACATGTAAGGCTGCAAACCGGACTTTTCTGCTAATCGCGGAGGCAGAGGTTCGATTCCGTGGCTGGGCGGCTGTGTTCTTGTGGCATAGGATTGGCAGAACGCCAGTGTGCTGACATTTAACAGGAGCAACATATCGAGTTTTTAAGTGCGAGACACCACGACACAATTATGAAACACGCCGTACCGATTCCAGAAATTTCGACCATCTGGTGTTGTCGCAACGTGCCCCCGACATAGCACAGTCAATGGGTCTCTATATTTTCGGCCACTGTCGACTACCGCAGCTGGGATCGAACGCACGACCTTCCGGTCAGCGGCTGAGCTGAGTAACAACTATGTTAGATGCAGGCGAACTTGCTTTCAATTTTCGGTGCACATGCGCTTAAAAATAACAGGTAGTCAGAATTATGTATTCCTCACTATAGAACGTGACACTTAAGTGTCGTGGTTCTGGCACATAACACTACAGTCTTTTTTTTTTTTGCCATGACTAATACCATTGTTACGGAAGTATAGCCTAAACCATGGTTAACGTAACCGTGGTTCACTTGTGTTACACAGTACGCTGAAACCGCGGTTGTAGGAAGCGGAACTCGGTAATCTCAGATTAGGCAGTTAACCAGAGGAATTGGCGGCGTACCACAAAGGTGGTGTTAGCCGCCTAAACCGAGGATGCTCTCGCGCTTTGCAACATCGGTGAACTGCGGTTAACCGTGGTTGGCCGTGAACGCCAGCTAACTCGCCTGCTGTAACACGGGAATAAGCTTGCAAGCGTAACTGCATACGTACCTCAGTCGAACCTGCCTTCTTCAGCTGCACCCAGCCACTTGTACTCCACGCGTGAAGCTTCAATATTGCAAATTGGAGCCCACTATCTCACAGCTGATCGCCGCGTGTGTCAACGTTACTTTGCGTGCGTCGTATCTCGTAATACCTGACCATATGCGCATAACACTTGCGCACACGCCGGTTTTTCCAAGCATAATGGACGCGGCAATGGCGTGGGCCAGTCTGACACAACTAACGTCACCAGTGGTGGGGCAACACCACTACTACACGGCAAACTTGGTAGCATGAGATAGAAAGGCGCCAGTGATGATTAGGATAACAAAAAGGACAGCAACTTCACGGTGCCCTGTTGGAATCAATTTTCAGCGACGCACCTTCGCAGTTTTTGTCTTTCGCACAATTATAGCATTCGCTGCGCGGGATCACCTTCTCACATTTCACGACATCTGCAAACCCCACCGCCTCAGCCGTTTAACCTTACCATGGCTAATAGTGAAATCCCGGCGCAAGCGCAAAGTGTATACTGTGGCGATAGCTGCAGACTCGGCCCTTTCCCCCTCCTTACATTCGCCTCATGTACTCCTTTCTTTACCCATCCTCCTCATGTAAATATTGCTTCACAAGAAAAGCCAATCAACCGTGTCATGCGTCCCGCCCCCCCCATCCCTCCGAAAAGTTTTAAGTAATGAGGAGCTAGTGGGAGGCTGCCTTGCGCTCGAAACAATCAGACGTGCAGGAGGACATCCTGGTTTGGGTAGAGTGTTGTGGAGGGCTACCGTGTGTATCGACGTTCACAACCTTTACTCT